GTTCTTAAAGACAAAGAGGAAGTTGGAAAGTGATTACTAAAAGAATGCAAGTAACTTGAATTAGATAATTATTCACAAGTTAAAATATTTAGCTGCAGCTTGAAATGTAACTTCACCAATGAAAAGGAAAGGATAGGCAGTTGTCTAGTAAATTTAAAGCTTTGTAAAGCCTTAAATATTAATTTTTTCTCAGTTTTCTGGATAACTACTTTCTTCAAGATAAAATTACCAGAAAAGTTGTTTCTAGCAACCGTTATGAATCTTTTGAAAATAGGAGTTCTAGAATGATCACTTCTACTTTTAGATGGGGATTATTGAAAATCAGCAGTGAAGAAAGAATGTAATGAAATGGTTTGCGGACTAAATACTTTTCCATTTGGATTTGTTCTATATTGATTTAGTCTTCCTGCAATAGACTACCCATTTCAGGTAAGAAATATTGGTGTGAATTAAGCTCAGCAGAAGTACTAAGCAAAATTATCTACTCTGAAGCAACTCATGTTACCTACAATGACGCATAAAGATGTATGGTATTTATTTAACTTTCTTCCAACTTCTATTTTTGTAAACTTTGCTTTAAAAAAAAAAACTATTTTGTAGTTTTGAGAAGTTGGTTGAGAATAAGGTATTTCCTAGAATACTTTTAACTATAAGAACGTATTACATTGAGTATTTGATACCCAAAAAGAAGTAGAGCTGATTCTGTTGAGACATTCTTCCCCATAGTGGTTATAGTTTGAGAGCTGGCTCACCTTTGTTAAGAAGTCCTTTTCCTTATATTTAGTGCTGACTTTCATAACTGAAATCAAAATAATCTACTTTTTTCTATATTGTGTTCTCTGATTCATAATTGTCCATAACTTTTTCATAAGGACAAGGTAGTTAATGGTTAGGTAATTGTCATAGGAAGAAATTAAAGTATGAAAGTAATAAAAAGGCAACTATTTTATTCAATTATCCATTCATTCAGATGACTATGTCCTTATTATATGTTCAGAATTGTTGCTGAGCAAACAATCTGTAACAAATATAGCCCTTACTTTCAAGGTGCTTATAGTAGAGTAAAGAAGTAAGACATTGACACAAGTAACTATAATAGAATTGGAAATAAGTGCCGTAGGAGAGTTAGATATATGGGCATCCAGAGGAAAGAGAAATTGCTTCTCTATGTCATTAATGTTACAATGAGCAAGATTTAGCAATATTTGAGATTCAGGACTCAAGAACATTCACCTCTCAACATCACCTGTGGCTCCAGGGGCATTTCAACTACACATCAGATAATTTTAATTTACTATTGCACATCTCTACATAAATAACAGGATTTCAAAATCGCCATGTCCAAAACTAAACATCATTTTTCTCACTAAACCATCTCCCCGTATCTTTCCTAATTTCTGCTCCCAAGCCATTTTCCTATTTCTGGTATTCAAATAACCCTGTCTCTAGATTTCAGTCACATTCTCCCTCATTGCCAGTCAATGATATGTCAAATCACACATTTTCTACTTTCTTAAAGCTCTTCGTAGACCCTTTGTTTCATTTTATTGGCAGGCTCTTGGATTTGCAATGATATTTGAACTAGTTTATCTTTTATTTTTCTTTTTATTTATTTTTTGGTTTTTTAATTTAATTTTTTATTTCCTTTTTTAAAAAATTTTTCTTTATCTTTTATTTTTCTTGACTCTAATAGTCTAATCTATATTCTGCTGACAGATTAATCTTCCCATTTTATAGCCATGATCATATAATTCTCATACTCAAACACATTTATAGACTCAAACAAATTAACTATATGAATCAATATTTCTCATTCTGATATTCACTATCTCCTGAGGCTATTTCCAACCTTATTTCCCAGTACTTAACTATGCCCAAAGTGTAACCACTTTACATTTCTAGACTAGAATATACGAATGTTACAATGTATCTACTCAATAAATTTTGTTCCTCTGGAACCTGTTGATTATCAAGCTTCAAAGCTTATAATAATTTCCACTTTAATATGTGGCCTTTTCTCATGTCCTTATACCCTAACCAGGCTAGCTGTAAATTTTCTGTGTTATTCTTTATTTACCTCTTAAAGCCTACAAAATAATCAAACTTATATGTAACTTCCCTCATCTTCCTCTCTCCCCCACTTCTACAGTGAGGGTTAAGTTTTATTAAGTTCTATAAACCTACAATATTTAGCATGGAGTCTGCTGATAGCGTGTTTAATCTTCCTTTTTCATGAAATTGAATGTTCAATCACTAACAAATTAATTTCTCAAAGCAATTAAATCCTTATTCATATGCCAGTAAAGAAAATGGTGTTTGTCCCCGTCTGAGAATGCCTACCATATTTTAATCTTTCCCACATTGAGGTAAATTTCAATCAGCAAGCAGCACTTGATGAGCACATGCGTATTGTTTCCTCCTTCTTGGAATCTCTCTTCGTTAACTTCTCTCTGTCCTGACAGTCAAAAGCTCATCCATACTAGATTTAAAAGCCATAAAAGCCACTGTAGGGGTCTGTTCAGCTTTAAACACAATTTAGAAAACCTTAGGAAAGAATGGCAATTCCCTTTCAGAAATCTCCCATACATATTTCAATAGAACAGCTTTCCAAATTGGAGATTGAAAAATATTATACCACCCACCAAGTAACAAAAAGTCACTCACTCACTGTGATGTAGAAAGATTCCCTTGATTTTCACAAAGAGCACAAAAGACTATATTTTACTTATTTAAATCTGAGACTGACATAAAACGTCAGAAAAAAAGAAAAGTAGTCAATTTATCTAAAAGATCATTATTTAGGAATAAATTGCTATGCAAAAATGCATGGATCTGCTTGACAACTTGTGAATTTAATAAGGCAGATGAAATGCCTCCCTCCCTCGCCCCCAAGAATCAACTTTGCTGAAGAAATATGTTAATCATCCTAAGTTTGAGGAATATATAAAGCTCTGAAATCAATGTGTACCTGGAACCGGGGGTTAAGGAAAAAAAAACATAATCAGCTTAGGAAATGCTTTATTTCCTGTGCTTAATCTGCAAAGAAAAACCAAGCAGGCAGAGCCAGGTGCAACAAAATCATACACGTAGATGGGAAATTCAGTCTTTTCATGCTCCACTCAGATGGTCAATTTATACGCTTGAGCTATAGCCTCCCCTTCTAAGACAAATGGAGTAGCTTTGGTTTATTTGTTTGTTTCCAAACACTGGCCTTCAGTTAACCTGTAGACTTGTCCGCTGACTTGAAGGAGAGAGTTATTATGTAACTATTGTCTCTGCTCAAATGGGAAATTATTCTATAGGGGTTAACAGTTCCTTAGAAAGAAGACAATGTTAACGGGTTGGTCTCATTACCAGTAAGCAAAAGGTGGTGTGTATTTTCCAAAAATGACCACAACAGAAGAACCTGGAGGACATCTCTGGGTTGTCCTTTACCTTCATGTCTTAAGGCCAGGTATTGCAGGCCACTTCTATTGATGCTATTCTGCTTTACTTTCGGAAGGATGAATGATCTATTCAGTTTAATAGTGCCAGCAAAGTAGTCTACTCACCGATGCTTGCAGACCTGGAGCAGCGAGCATTTTAAGCCAGCCTTTCAGACTTTACACTAATCTGTACATCTAATTGTTAGCAGTGTTTTCCATGGCATTGAGATTCCTATCAATCTTCCCCAAGCACACTGACGTTACTTACAAGCTATGTAATGATTTCTGTGGCACCACATATTTTTTACTTAAAACGATTTGACTCCAGTAACTCTTCTAATTTAAATTTTCTGATCTTGATGCTTGTTGCAACTTAACTTCAGAAACTCCAAGATGCAAGATGAGCAAATCTGTGTGAATTTGAAGTGTTTTTGAATTTGTCCTAAATTTACATAGATATTTTGAGAAATGACTGATAAAATGCTGTTCAGGAGGGATGTACTTATTTTTTCCGACAATCACTGTAAATTAGAATTTTGCAGGCAGCAATCTTTTAAATTGAAAATGAGCAAAACAAAATTAGAAATGAATGTTTCTGGTTTTTTTCCCCTAAGACCTCTCAGAGTCTGAATCGTCTTTCCCAATTGTGTTCTTTTATGGTAGTTTGTACTTCAATTTTCACACTTATTAAATCTATTTTGTATTAAAATCACATGCTTATTTCTCCCAATTGTACATCACTATGGGCAAGGACATCTTACTTGTTTTTATATTCCTTCCAGTACAAGGTAGGAACCTAATAAATATTGATTAAATTGTTTATTTTCAATCGCTCAGGAAGGGTTAAAAGTCAAATGTAAATCATTCTCGAAATTGTCCATTAATATATTCAAGACTTATGTAGATACATACCTATCTTTTATCTGAGTTTCTTAGCCAGAAGTAAATAGGTAGGATTTTATGTTTAACTATTCCTGAAATGTTATGCCAAATATGTATATGTGCTTAGATATGTACATATTTCTTCAGCAAAGGTCTATAGACTGTACAAATGAATCTCTCTCTACTCAACCTACCCCAAAATATAAAGATACACTTCCCTAGGCAGCTTTACCCAACTTCTCAATTTATCAGACCTGAAAAAAGGTTGGGAAAAATACAGGCTAACATCTGCAATATAATATCTGCGATTACAGCCTTTCACCCACACATGCCAATCTTATTTCTGAGCAACATCTGAAAACAATGTATTTTGGAGAGAAAGTATATTTTTAACCAGTATTCTATTCCCAGATTTTTATGCTTAAAAGGGGCCACTGTACGTTTCCAGTACTTTGTGATTTCATGAAACATGCTTTCAGGGTGCTGTACTCACAACATTTCCCTTCCATATAAACAAATATGATCTCTCTCAAGCCTTCTCCATGCACTCCAAGTCAACATTCAAACATTGAACTCATTAAAGGAATTGCTGCATCAAAGTGTCAGGGGAAGATCCCTGAAAGTAAACTGAGGCTGAGTCACCCACTACTGATTTCCAATGTGTACCACCAGAAGAATAAGAGACAAAGATACCTGTGTCGACGTCACTGCTGCAAAGACTGGGCAGAAGAAAAAGAATGGTCACTTGAAGCAGTTCCATGGTGCCTGTAGATGGTGTCAATGGCTTCTCTCTCAAGAGGCAGGCAGGGACAATTCCCTCCCAGCCTGGCAGGGCCTTATTAGCAAATGGAAAAGGTGTATTGAATGTGAATAGCCACTGCCCATTCCTACTTATTTTGGGGGCTCTGATAAAGAACGGGAGGAAATACACACGCTCCCTTTGGGAGTTCAGCAGAGAGGAGATTTATTGTTTCAGTCTCTTACAGGAACTCTTTTTTTTCTCTCTCTCTTCCTTTGGCAGCCACTTGTGTTTTTGTTACTACATTATTTTGTTCTTCTTCAACAGAAAGGTCAGGACGGGTTTTGAACAGAAAGAGATCCTTCTTGAGAATGGATCACAGCGCCTTCTAACTTTTGTTTTGAAAGTGCATTTTGAAGTGGTTATAAAGGGGCCTCATTTAGCAGCTACTCCCTTGGGATAAAGAGGCTTTCACTGCCTGAGGTTAAATTTTAGGGCAAAATCCATCAGGAATCAACTTGTTTTCTCTTTCCAACTTGAAAGCCAGGTTAGTGAAGCCCACCTTGTGAATATCAGTGAAAAATAGTATTAAATAGATTATACTCTGCTCTTGAGTAAGCAAAAAGACTTTTAAAGGATGTCCAGAGGCTTTTCCAGAACTTTTTTTTTTTCCCATTTATTTATTTTATTGTATTTTAGGTTTTGGGGTACATGTGAAGAACATGCAAAATTGTTGCATAGGTACACACGTGGCAGTGTGATTTGCTGCCTTCCTCCCCATCACCTACACCTGGCATTTCTCCCCTTGCTATCTCTCCCCAGTTCCCCACCCCTCACCGTCCCTCCCCTATTTCCCCCCAACTGACCCCAGTGTGTCGTGCTCCCCTCCCTGTGTCCATGTGTTCTCATTGTTCAACACCCGCCTATGAGTGAGAACATTCGGTGTTTGATCTTCTGCTTTTCTGTCAGTTTGCTGAGAATGATGGTTTCCAGATTCATCCACGTCCCTACAAAGGACCCAAACTCATCATTTTTGATGGCTGCATACTATTCCATGGTGTATATGTGCCACATTTTCCCTATACAGTCTATCGTCGATGGGCATTTGGGTTGGTTCCAGGTCTTTGCTGTTGTAAACAGTGCTGCAATGAACACTCGTGTGCACGTGCCCGTATAATAGAACGATTTGTAATCCTTTGGATATATACCCAGTAATGGGATTGCTGGGTCAAATGGAATTTCTATTTCTAGGTCCTTGAGGAATTGCCACACTGTCTTCCACAATGGTTGAACTAATTTACACTCCCACCAACAGGGCAAAAGTGTTTCTATTTCTCCACATCCTCTCCAACATCACATGGAACCAAAAGAGAGCCCTCATAGCCAAGTCAATTCTAAGCAAAAATAACAAAGCAGGAGGCATCACACTACCCGACTTCAAACAATACTACAAGGATACAGTAATCAAAACAGCATGGTACTGGTACCAAAACAGAGATATAGACCAATGGAACAGAACAGAGGTCTTGGAGGCAACACAACATATCTACAACCATCTGATCTTTGACAAACCAGACAAAAACAAGCAATGGGGAAAGGATTCCCTGTTCAATAAATGGTGTTGGGAAAACTGGCTAGCCATGTGCAGAAAGCAGAAACTGGACCCCTTCCTGACACCTTACACTAAAATTAACTCCAGATGGATTAAAGACAAACATAAGACCTAACATCATAAAAACCCTAGAAGAAAATCTAGGCAAAACCATTCAGGACATAGGTGTAGGCAAGGAATTCATGACCAAAACACCAAAAGCATTGACAACAAAAGCCAAAATAGACAAATGAGACCTAATCAAACTCACAGCTTCTGCACAGCAAAAGAAACCATCATTAGAGCAAATTGGCAACCAGCAGAATGGGAAAAAATTTTTGCAGTCTACCCATCTGACAAAGGGCTAATATCCAGAATTTACAAAGAACTAAAACAGATTTACAAGAAAAAAACTCACAAGCCCATTCAAAAGTGGGCAAAGGATATGAACAGACACTTTACAAAAGAAGACATACATGAGGCCAACAAACATATGAAAAAATGCTCATCATCACTGTCATCAGAGAAATGCAAATCAAAACTACATTGAGATACCATCTCACGCCAGTTAGAATGGTGATCATTAAAAAATCCAGAACTTTTTAATAGAATTAAGCAAAGACATGTGAATGTCCATTGACCACTCCTGGTTTTTACTAAAGGACTTTGATGATGAATAACGAATAATTACTTATAATACCTCATGAATGCTCTTCTTTTATTTTATTTTGTTTTATTTTTGAGACAGAGTCTCGCTGTTGTGGCCTGCGCTGGAATTCAATGGCACAATCTCAGCTCACTGCAACCTCTGCCACCCCAACTCCAGCAATTCTCCTGCCTCAGCCTCCTGAGTAGCAGAGATAACAGGTACCCACCACCATGCCCAGCTAATTTTTGTATTTTTTAGTAGAGACGGGATTTCACCATGTTAGCCAGGCTGGTCTCGAACTCCTGACCTAAGGTGATCCACCTGCCTCGGTCTCCCAAAGTGCTGGGATCACAGGTGTGAGTCACCGTGCCCGGCTGATGAATGCTCTTCTTTAGGGGACAGGATTAGAATGGCAGTGAGTGAAATGCCTTCATACATCAGTGAAGTCGGGAGAGGTCGATTCTTTAAGACTGGAAAGTCAACAAGGCTGGACAATCTATACAGCAGGGGTCACTTTGATGTCAGCCGTGACTGATTAAAACATGGTGATAACACTGCCACAGCCCTGGGTATAACCCTGTGTGTGCCAATGACTTCATATTTTTCCTCAGCCACAGGCTTCATGTCTCATTTTTGTCAATCATCTTTTTATATACCTTTACTCAGGCCTTATTGGACAACATTGTTAGTAGATCAGTGTAGATTCATTTGCCCCACAAAAGAAAGGGAAACAAGAGCGAAACTCCGTCTCAAAAAAAAAAAAAAAAAAAAAAAAAAGCTATTCAAAAATTATACCTTTACCTGTTTTCAAGGAGGGCACACATTTCACTGCTGCACCATGCTGGGAAATACTTCATATAAAAAGAGAGTGAGTCAACTGCTCAAAACACATAAAAAATTAGCTTATCCAATGTTATACCAGGGGTCAGAAGAGCTAAGTTTCTATTTTGTGCATAAGCAAGATTGTATTTTACCCTCTTCTAATTGATTTTCTAAAACAGACTGCCTTTGGGGTTGTTACTTTATTTGGCATATCCTGGAGAATATAAAGATAGGAACATATGTGAATAGATGTCACATGCACCTTCCAGAAATAAATTGGGGTGTGGCCATGTGAAATCACAGTCGAACACTCACATTGCCTCACTTCCTGCTCCTTCTGTACTCTAACACTGGAGTTGTCAGTACACAGAGTCACCACCAATGCTGGTCACAATGATTTCTTCAGGGATTTGATGGCATTTGGACTTCTCAGCCCTGACTCCTATGCATTTCCATTTAGTGGACTAGGTATCTATTCTAAGAATGCCTGATAATAGAATATTAAGACTACTTAAAAGACAAAGTCCTGTAGATGAAAAAAANAAAAAAAAAAACCTAAGAAAATACATCTTAAAATAGCTAGCCAAAATAATAATAATAATAATAATAATTAAAATATAAGAACAGAAAAGAAAAAAATGAGGAGTAATAATGGGGGGGTAGGGTCAGCTTTGCCTTAGTAAATCAGGAGATATTTTTAAGGCAAAATATTTAATTAAAACAGTAATGGTTACCAGAAGAGACAAAAAGATCAGTGGCAAAAAATATAAAGTACAGACACAGAAATATTTATATTTGTTGCTATCTACATGTATATACACACAGATATATTTACAGATATGTCTGTGTATATGAATGCTTGTATGTATATGCATATATTTAGAGAGAGATTAGAAATAGGTGAGTTTAACATGTAGTAACTGTGATTAGTAGGGTATATATTTATTGTGAGTTTTTTGATAATGTGTTAATCATTTAAGAAAATTTTTAAATTAAGTCTCTGTTTTACTTAAAATACCAAATTGCACATGTTAATCTTATATGTTAAAGATTTAAGTTTAAATAACAAAATTGTAAAATTCGAGGAGAGAATATGGTAACTATACATAATTGGGGTAAAGAGGACATTTTATGCACGACACTAAAGACAAAGCATGTAAAAGAAAGATGTCATACATTTGCTTACACAAAAATTAAAAGATTTTTGGCACAACACACCATGAATTTAAAAGGCAAATTAAAAATTTTGTAACAGTACGTGATAATTTATCTTAAAAATACCTTCTGATCTAAAAAACAATGACCCTACATTTGAAAAAGGCAAAAAAGTGTCATGCAAGAAATGGAGGGCCAGTAAAATACAAAACTATATTAATCACCCCAGAGATCAAAGAAACGAATATCCCAACATCAAAACGGCATATTTTGCCTTTTATATATAATTAGGTATAGTTCTTGACAATTCCCATTGTTGACAAATGTTCAAATAAAGTAACTATCTTATTCTTGGGGTATGACCTTTCTGAGATGTAACTTGGCAATATACATCAAAACTGTTAAAGAACCATACTATTTGAACTTGCAGTTATATGTTTAGGAACTTATTCTTAAAAGGAAGATGTTCACTGAAGTTCATGTAATTACAAAAATTTGTCAATACATTAATTATTGAGGAAGAATATTATTCTGCCACAAAATACTAATTAGATAACTTTTTATAGATGTGGAAATATATTAATGACACTTTTTTGCATATATATATGCATATATAATACATATGCATATGATATATATACATGTAGTACATGTATATGTGTATATATGTCAGTACACATATACACACACAGGGCAAGAGAAAGTGAGATACAAAATGTTAACATTGCCTATCTTCTGGAAGTAATTTATGGGTAGTTTTAAATCACATTTTTAAATTTTCCATAAAAAGATCTTCCAGAGTAAACATATTGTTTTTGCCTCTTAACAACAAAAACACTTTTGCTTGACCTGATACATTTTATTTAATTTAATATTTTGTGTGTATATTTATACATATATTTATTAAATATTTTGTATTCTAACCTGCCAGAATGTTTTCATTATTAGGAAGTTTATAATTTAAAAGCACTTTAATAAAA